GTGTGTTGTTTGATTGCACATACTCCGCATATTTTGTTTTTATGATCTGGTTTCTTATGCTCTGCTTAAGTAGTATGCCAATTTCTTGTCCACAGACAGGTTTGTAAATGCATACATTGATAGTCCCAAAACTTAACAATCGAACAATCATAACAGGTATAAAGAAGCAGATAGAAAGAGAGCAGCGGCAAACCCTAATCTCTCTATCTCTGCGCCTCTATTCTCTAAAGCCTCAAACTATTAGGGTTCCCGTAAGTTATCATCCTTTTATAGGAGAAGTTGGCTAACTTACGTGTTACAAAGAAGCTAACGGGCTGATACACATTTGTGGCCCGTATTACACGTTTAATTAATAACTACACAATTACAAAGATAATTAATTATATTGGACACCATTAAAATATTCTCAACAATCTCTCCCTTGGTGTTCAATCATGTTGAATCAGCATTGCAGCGCATATATCTTTGTTTTTGTTGTTATTCAGCTTCCTTTGTCTTTGAACTTGACTTCTTAAGAAGGCTTTCTGAAGAAATCCTTGCAATCTCCCCTTTGATGTCTTCTTGGCAATTTGTTCTTTGATGCCGGGGGTTGAGGGATCTTCAGTATCTTGCATGTAGTCCTTGCCTTCCAGAAGTTGCTCTTGATCAGCTTGGATGAAGTCCGGTGACGCCTCTAGAATGAATATTCTTTGACCTCTGTCTCTTCCACAATGTAGTTTTTTTGACTATTTGGAATCAATGCATTTGAGGAGAACTTGTCGGTGGCACAACGGAACAAAATGATGGTTGACTTGTGAGCGTAGCTGACCATTTGAGTTGCGAAGATATTAGAGAGAGTGTTGGAGGAGAGAAGTGTCCCATAAAAATTTTTTTTTGACAGTTAACAGCATGTGGACCACTCTCCCCCTCATGACGATCCGATAACTCGGGGCGTCATGCCTTTATTCTTTTATTCTGCGGAAATAAAACAGGAAAAACAAGCAGAATGGTAAAATTATAACGTAGCCCCCCGAGGTCGTGTAAACACCCGTTTTCATCACTATAGAGATAAACTCTAAAACAATGGCCTGAAAATGTTGGTGATTCTTATGTTGCAACAACAGGACTTCCTTCCAATTATTGGTCTACATCTGTAAGAGATGAGCCCTATGGAAGTTCTCGCAGGTCATGAAAACCTGCAACTGACTCTAAAAGTGCATCTGTGTCCTAGAAAATTTCAAAACATTTGGAAGTGAGTAACTAGACACGACGTGATCAATGAAAGTTCAGCGGCATGGGGTTGAGGCCACTGTAGTCAGTATCACTTGCCTCAGAAGGAGACAGTAATGAGAGATGCGCTTCCCCGTGAAATATGATTAAGCACCTGTCTGTTGGGAGACAAATGAGTGGTCTTGGGTAGGGTTAAACATGCACTGTTGGACAAGATGCAGTGACTTCTACCTGGGATCTAATTAAATCAGTCCTGAACCTATTTGGGAATTGTCCATAGTATTTGAGTGGCTAGGAGTAAATGTTCAATACATAATAGGCAATTGAGGTAGCAGACTCATTATTGATTATTGCTTTCCTTCTCACTTGAGCCTTCTGCTTCCTAACTCTCATAATGATAACTCACTCACTCACTTACTCTCGTCTTTGTCCCTTGGGTAGGCTTAGTTGGGTTTACTAAGCCATAGGAACATGTTCTCTCATCGATTTTCTCTTTGTACTCCCCCTCAACTGGAGCGTTCGGTATGCTTTTGTCATTGTTAGGCACCGGGGAGGATAACATTGAACACTCCCCCTAGAATGTTGCATCCGTTGAGAGATTCCTTGCTTTGTTGGTATAAGGCGCTAGGAGGAGAAAACTGAAACTCCCCCTCAGAATGTGCAAGGATTGATTGCTCACAGCTCGTCATACCCGGCATGTGTGTGGAGCAATCTGAACAGGTACCACACATGACGGTTTCCCTAAGCTCATCATTTGGAATTTCAGCATGTTTGAGGATCACACAATGTTGATGAGTTAAGGGAGGCTTCAGTAGTTGATTGTTGATTGTTGTAAGATGACCGTTGACGCGAGGTTGATTGAATTATCTACGATTTTCGGATCTCTACAGTGGAGCATAGACCTTAGGTTTCTGAACTCTAAAGTGAGTTTAATTCCTTAAGTATGAGTGCCAAGGCCAATAATATGAGTTGCAAGTCACATTCTAATAGTAAAAATATGTTTATTTTTGGATGCAACCAAAATACTTCTGATTTTTCTACTGTATGTGGAAGTGCTAACAAGAGTTTCAACAATCACCATGAGAATGTGAATCCAATGGAGCCTGGATATGATGAAAATGCTAGTAAGGTTAAAAAAATTAATGTCAATTTGCTTGATGTGTAGTGTATTTGATTGCCTGCTTATGTTGCATGCACTGTTTTTTCGTGTGGGAGCTCAATTAGATTTAACTCTTTGTTTGTTTATTTTTTATCTTCATCACTTTTAAATTGAAGGAAGCATATGATCGTTTAAAGCAACTGAAGAAAAAAGATCTAAGTGACAGCTTGACTGCATATTTTTATGAACTTGATTTCACCGGTATTTTCCTTTACAGCCTCATATGTAATACGCGTCTTTCCCCTTTCCCAAGCATTTTCATGTTCAAAGTGGACCCAACCATGCATTTTGTTATTGTTTAGTCTCTATATATGGTGTAGTGCAACGACAAGTTGATGTGAATGGGGAAAAGGGAGCACGTGTTGTTGATTACTTCCATAAGAATGCCGTTGTTGGGGCTTGACACTTAGAGATTGTTTTATGTCCTATAGACCGTGCTTTATCTCAATTCTAGCTATAATTGTAACTTTTGTGTTGTTTTTTTAGTTGTACTTAATTACATTTATGATTTCCGGGGTATGCCCCTATGAATCATGTTAAAGATTTTGGTTAATGTTAATGTTTTGGTTTATTTTTATTAATATATATACTAATATAAAATATATAAAAAAGAATATATTATGTTTTGTCATGACATTAGTGTCACTAGCCCTCACTTTCATTGACACTTTTTTAGTGTCATAGAATCTTTTAGTGACACTAATTTGGTGTCATTGTAAGACTTTTTTCTAGTAGTATATGTATATATCACAAAATAACATGATGCATTGGTATCACAAAAATCCTTGTTACATATATATCACAATTCTCTATGATGTTTATACATCATAATTTTGTGACACCAAAGTGACTTGTTAACAGTGACACTAAATTTAGCGTCACTAGCCTCGCTTTTCTGTGACACTTTCAGAGTGTCACTAAATCATTTAGTGACACTAATTTAATGTCACTATAAGTCATTTTTTACTAGTTATATACAGTGTAGTTGTCAGTGTAGTTGTCATTGTACTTTTCAAATGTTTCAAAGTACTGACTTCCCCTTCACGGGGGAGGCCACCTCACAGTTTCAGGTAGAACTTGAAGGTTGCTACCATCGCTTGTTGCTTCGGGGAGATCGAAGGAAGAAGACTTGGTTCGTACTTCTTCCGTTCCTGTTTTGAAAACAATTTAAATAATGCTCATAGATATTATTTTAAATAATCATTTGGGGGCTTGTATGCCTAAGTTTGCCAAGTGTGGCTTAACTCTTGTATTAATGTTTCCGCTGCTTTAAATGAATGTTTTACATTATGTTTGTTTATGGATGTATTATGTGTGAATTATATTCCAGACGTCTTGTATAGTATGGATGTGTTGGACTGTGGTTGATTATTCGTACTGTACGACGGGTTGTTGATGTGTTCGAGTAGGTCCGGGGCGTGACAATTTAAATTGTTATCAGAGCCTTAGTCCGTAAACATCATAATGAAGTTTCAAAATTCCTTTTTTAAAATGAATTTGAAAACCATGAGCATAAGAAGTTTTGTACTTATAGAACTTCTGGTACTTGAGTTGCAAAGTCTCTAATTGTTAAGGTCTCTAATCTCGCATGTTCAGTGAAAAGTTTTGCTCAATTTTGAATATTCTTTTGAATATTCTTTTCTATGCTTCATCAAAGAGAGAACATTTTGATTATTATTTGTCTAGTGGGGGGAAAGAGTTGAATTGTTGGTCTGATGTAAGGTCATGATTTCTATTTTCTATTATATCGATATAGGCGATTTACTTTTAAAGAGAATAATAAAGTAAGACTTTAATTAATAGAATTTGTTGGGTGAATATTTCTTAATTAACAGACTTTAATTAAGAAAAAACTAAATTGGTTGAGTGAATATTAAATTTTAATTTAAGATGGTGAAGAATTTGATTTATTAATGAAGCACGGTTGCGACTAGCGTTAGGATGTTTTTACTTGGTCAAGTAGATGTTTGATCTAGTCTAATTTAATCTTTTTAAGTTTGATCTGTTCCGTTCAAGGTTGGTTTGATCTACTCATATCAAGTAAAATGGTTGTGCTTGTAGAATTGTCTATGGACAAACAATTCTATATGCATGAGACAGAAGAGTGTACGAAAGATGTACACCAAAATGTGTACGCCAAACATTCTTGCAAGTAAAAAACATCTCTACCCCCATGAGTAACTCAGTTGGTCTAGTGGTGGGAAATTTGGAACAATGACCAATGTTCGAAATCCGCATCGACCGTTTGAAGGTTACAACTCCTACGTGCTGAGTTGGATCTCTGGTGGGTAAAAGCCTATCACCATTGAGCCAATTGAATAAATAAAAGACTTACATACTTCCAAAAATTATGTCGGGTTGGGGTGTCGAGGCTCTTGTGGCTCAGATTCCACTTTTTTGAACAAAGTAAAAATCATCCCTATCCACAAGTCACAACCGTAATACATCGACGACAAAGAATGGACCACACGGGTAACTCAGTTGGTCGAATGGTGGGAGATTTGGAACAATGAAGCAAGGTTCGAATACTCGCAGCGACCAGGTGAACCTCTGGTGCTGGGTCTGTGGTGCGCACGAGTGTATGAGTCTGCTCCGGGCTAAGGGGCGGGAGATTAGGCCTTTTAGGAACAATCGACAACAAAGAATGGCTAGGTCCATCACTCCATCCAGTCAGTCCAACGGGCAACGGTCACTCCATCTTCATCAAATGCGCTGCCTCTCTATCCAACTCTTTCCTTACCTGCTCTAGAGTCAGCTATAAAATCAAGCGGTCTCCCCTTTTTCCACCCTTTTCCTCTCCCTGACATCGCTCTGTTATCTCCGTTAATGGTGATCTGAGGCGAAGCTCGCATGTGTACCCCAATCTCGGGCATTTTTTTTGCCCTTGCACGTTTGCTTCCCGCGCATCCTGAATAAACACCCATTGTTTGAACTTATTACAATACGTATATACGAACGCGGATACACGTTGTTGCAGAATGCCGACGTTAGATTCGTTTGACAAGTTTTTGTTTTCTGCTAGCAGGGCGTGCTGCAGCCCTCTCGCTTTGTTCATCCAGATCCAGGTCAAGCCTTCCTTTCTTTAGGGAGTTTCTCTGTGTGCTATAGTTTTACTTTTTTGCGATAGGGGCCTGTGGCTGGATCCGAAGATAATATTGAGATTTGAAAGTTTATTTGTAGTTATTTTGGGAGAACTTGTCATCGTTTTTTGCTCTACTACTGCCAAATTCTTTACATTTGCAAATAATCTGCATTTTTCGTAAAAGCATGTGTTTTCCGGGAGTTATAAATTTTCATTATTCCTGACAAGTGAAGCTTGAATGTGAGGAGCCCAACATTTTTATTGGATGTCCAAAGACCCTCCTTTTTAACTTGCTCTACAGATTCTGGATTTCGGGAACAACCTGTTCAAACAGGGTAAAGAGTAATTCTTAGCAGAGTAGTGAAACAAATAACCTTTTAGTATGTGATGTTGTGATGAGAAGAATACTTCATGTAGCCTAGGTGGATGTATCTTTGATTAAATCATTAGTGCAAATGTGAAATCCTTTTAAACAATAACTTTTTGTTAATTGAAGTGAAATTTTGAATTTTGATGGTTTAGATAATAAGATTTATGGTGTACTTGTACAAAAAAACAAAACTAATAACTAGTAAAACAACCATCTTCTAATCTCATTCTTCAATTATTAATAATACCATATTCATTTTATTTGGACCGACCAGACATATATATATATACATATATATATATATATACACACACACACACACACTCCCTCCGTCCCTAAATGTTTGTCAACACTTTGACTTCACAAGTTTTAAGGAGATGAATTTGACTTTACACTGTAGCGACACTGTTTCACACTGTAGCGGCACTGTTTTGCACTGTTTGGCATTGTTTTGCACTGTTTTGTACTGTTTGACACTGTTTGGTATAGATTTGTTTACCAAATAAGGAAGTTGAAAAAGTATGACAAACATTTTGGGACATCCGTTTCGGGAAAGTGTGACAAACATTTAGGGACGGAGGGAGTATATATTTTATACACAGAACCTGAGGAATGAGACATGCCCAAGCATCATGCCTCATAACATATTCAGGAAAAGCTATTTTATAGATTCAATAATTCTAAAAATTTGGAATAACTTCAGTACTCTTACTGTATGCAAAGTAAGGATGCTTTGGGCTATCAAATAAGTTGTGGTAGTTTGTGGAAGGAGTTTTTCTTACTTGGGTTAAGAAAAGCTCCATATAAAGTGAACAATAACTGGAACAGTTTTATTGTTGTTGTGAACAATTATATCATAATTGGCATTTCATCTATTATTGTACTCCCTCCGCCACAAATTAGTTGACGTTTGAGAAAAGTGCGCACATCTGAAAAACATTATGAAATGATATTTCTATCCCCATAAAAGTTCAACACTAAATGGAATCTTATTTCTTTTGAGGCATAAAACATTTAATTCCAGACAAGACAGCAAGGGCAAATTTGAGAGATCAGTTCAAAGACGCAATGCATTCCTAGAGTGATAATAATTTTGGAACAATTAATATTGGCTAAAATGATAAACAGTTTGGGATGGAGGGAGTATATGTGAATACTCACTAGTCACTACTATCTGAGTTTGAATTATTATATGAAATTATTATTATATGAAATACAATATGGCCTGGATTTGCTGCAGGGATACATGATCTGCTTACTCCTTGCTCTTGGATGGACTTTAGCTGCTTATGTAAGGTATGTCTTGTATAAGATGAGGTGATATTCTAAGTGTGACTTTACATGCCAAATTTCTGTTACTGTTTTTTTTTAAAGTGGGATTCAATAGTTTTTTTCAATATATATTTTCTCCACAGGAGAAGGGAGACTAGAATGATCAAGGATAGAATGAAACATGGGAATAGCTTTGCCTTTCTCTGTAAGGACATCAATGAGCTTGAACATTCTAATCAGATCAATTTACCCAGAGTTTCAGTTGTTATGCCTTTAAAAGGTTTTGGAGAGCACAATCTACAGAATTGGAGAAGTCAGGTAAATGCGGATCAATGCATCAGCTAGTTCCCTTTGATCTGTGGACAGAAGATGAGTAGCTTGCATTTTCTTGTTCATGCTTTTCCTGTGAGTTTTTCACGTTGAAAAGTAGGTATTTTTTACATGTTATTGATGATCACATAGCATACCTATTTCGGTTTTTCAGTATGTGACTTTTCAACTATCCAAATATATACATATATCTGTGCATATAACACTTTCTCAGGGAAATCTATCTCAGTTATCAACTAGAACTGTCTACATGAGATAATATTGACCTCTACATTTAATCATCCTGCGGTGCAATAAATAAAAATCGTGCACTAATCCTTTTAAATTCCGTCATCTCAGTCTAATTGAATGCCATAATATTATCCTTCTTTTGTGCCATTTATTTTCATTAAATGAAGATTGCTTTGCTCTTATCACCCTTGCTTATTTGAATAATTTAGATTACATCACTTTATGGAGGCCCATTGGAGTTTCTTTTTGTTGTTGAGAGTGTTAAAGACCCTGCTTACAGTGCCGTGCAGAAATTACTTGCAGATTTTGAGGTATGTTTAGACATATTTATTGAGCCTAAAGATTGATTGACGGCTCTATTTTCCTGCACATCTTGTATTAATGTGAATAAAAATCATAAGGAAAATCTTGGGAGTTGGGTAAGTTGTTATGGAGTATTTTACTTTATCTAAAACTGGTAGTATCAGTATGCATGTCACTGCCTTGTGGCTACTGACAAATAGTTTTTATTTGAAACTTTCTTTCTCTATTGCTTATTATCTGAAAATTGATGCCTTCCCGTTATTTCTCTCCATCATAATCTGTTGCTTACGCTTTCTTTATCATCATTTACCATCTTTTTTTTCTTGTCATGGTCTTTCTTCCCATACTGTTACGGATTGTGATAAAAGCACTGTTACACTCCCTCTATCCCTTAGAACTTTGCCAACTCTGGCACTTAGAATAAGAAGGTAAAAATTGTGTGATTGAGGTTTGTGCAGAGGAGAAAGAAGTGTCATTATTTTTGGGAAAACCAAATAAGGAAAGCTGGCAATGTTTTGTGGGACATAGGTAGTATTATCCAAACAATTATGACCTTTTTGGAGGTGTTTTAAATGCAAAGCAAATGCATAGATGCAAGTGCAATGATGGTGCTTCTTTCCCCACATTGGCGGAGGCAGTGCTACCTAAATTCAAATTGGGGATGGGTGAAAAAGTTCATTCATAAATATATACAGTAAGCAATTTCATACCAAATTGAAGTTTTTTACCAAATTTGGGTGGGCTGGGTAATGGATTTTGCCCACTAGCTATACCAATTTTACCCAACATCAATCTGGTTGCTGTAACCTAGTCTACAATCACTCTCATAGATTGAGTATATGACAAGAATACACTCTGCTCATGGATTCATGCCTTATCCATTGCTGCGTTTAGTCCCCGTTTGGGTCTTCACTTCAATAGTTAGTTTAATTTTCCTTGTTTATGCTGATGACAGGATGAGGTTGACACAAAGATAATTGTAGCCGGTCTCTCAACAACTTGTAGCCAAAAGATTCACAACCAATTGGTATGTAAAAAAATCATAATCGTGTAGTCATGTATAATTTTGTCCTTTGTTGGTGGTGGAGAGAAAAGTATGTTACAGCATAACTGCATAAGGATTATTTGTGTCTGGTTCGGGTGATGGATGAGCATTTCGAGTATATATGATTAATGGCAGGTAGGAGTGGAGAAAATGCATAAGGACACAAAGTATGTACTGTTCCTTGATGATGATGCAAGGTTGCATCCTGGTTCAATTGGTGCCCTTACTGTTGAGATGGAAAATAATCCGGAGGTAAAGTTTGTGTGAACTAATAGTGTATGATACCTATGATGGTAATACTTGACTGTTACAGTAGTTTCTTTCCTTCTTTTAATTGCTGTAAAGTTTTGACTATTTCCTTGTCTGATCACTCTGTGCAGATTTTTATTCAAACCGGATATCCTCTTGATTTACCTTCCGGAAGTCTTGGGAGTTACTGCATCTATGAGTACCACATGGTTGGTGCCTAATCATCATTGCAGTTCCTTAATAATTTAGTGATTGTTTCAGAGAAAATGAGGTCACATGCTGCTTTTGTTAAAAAACACTCCAAATAATAATTGTATTTTCTGTTCAGTGGACTTTTAGTAACTGAGAAGTTCTCCAGTTTGTTTAGAGAAGAAAGAAAATTATACATCCCCCTGTTCACTTTTACTCGCTCCAGTAGGTTTGTCAGGGAATTTAAGAGTAAAGACAGCGTGTTTCAGTTTCGTAAAAAAAATTAAAAATACTTCTTTAGTTTATATTAAACGTTTGATTTTCCGAATACAGAAAACATAGTTCGTATTCAGACCCACAACCACATAACTTATGACCACAATCGCCATTATAAAGAACCATACACCCCCACACACTTAACTACTTTAATTCTCACTACTGACGGCTACCTAACTCTATTGCCATCCTCTCTTTAGTATTATGATTTGGTGTATCCATAGAGTACTATGTGTCTACTTGTTTAGTTATTCTACAATGTACTACCACTCTACCAGCTACCTGTGCACTTGCATTCCAAATAGCAACACCCCACAACAACCAAAATTTGTACCCCACCCCCACCTATCTAAACCCACCACCACAGATCTATGTATCCTACCCCCACCAACAACAGCACCAACACCAACACCTCGTACTACTGCCTTTTGTCATTACAGTGGCATTAACTTATTATGAAATGAACTTTTTTGTACCATTTGCTCCATATGTCCCTGTGGGGTTAGTTTTTACATTCATTACTTTTCCTTCCAACTGAATTGGTTATTATTCATCTGCAGCCATGTTCAATGGGATTTGCTACTGGTGGGAAAACATTCTTCTTGTGGGGAGGATGCATGATGGTAATTTGTTTGTACTAATTTTAAAGAAGAATTACTAAAAACCATATACATAGACGTATATGTGTGAAATGTGAATCTCACATTTACTTCGCTACGCTACCCTTGTTTGTTGAACCCTGCACTTATTTCGCGGTGGTAAAAAGTTCACTTATCCAAGGTAGTCAAAGTTGAAAGACGCACTTGAAGCGCTAGGGGGCCTTGCAGCGCCTGAGGCTCAAGGCGCAAATAAAGCGCACACCTGATAGAAATATGGTTTAGTAGGCTAATACTAAGAAATAGTAATAATAATAATAGTAAAGGTACTGGTAGTAGTATTGTTAGAAGGGAGTAATAAGGGGTTTTGGGGCTAAAATTAGCTAAGGAGTTCAGTTTGGTCCCTGCGTGGATTTTTATTATAAACAGAAGTGGGGGGGTAGCTAATTAGAGTAGGCTGTTATTTGATTTGGGTGTTGCCTTGGAGAGTGGGCTTCTCGAACAGTCCCGGTTGCCTTGTTGCCTAAGTTGAGATATTTCTTATCAATAAACATCAATTTCCCTAAATTCCTTATCAGATTTGTGGTGCTAGTTTACTGTTTTTCACTTGGATTATTCCCAGCACTATCAATGGTATGAGAGCAGTTCTCCTGGGGATCGGATTGAAGTGGCGACTTATCATCTGTAGTGATCTGGATTATTAACTTCCTGGAGCTATGGAAGAAGTCAGGACACTAGAAATGGAGGCTCGCATGGGTAAGTTGGAACAGGAGATGAAAGCTGCTTTTGCAAACCTCTTGACAACGATGAGTCAACAGATTCAGAACAGTATCGCGACTTCTATGGCAGCGATTTCAGCTTCCGTCGCCGCGAAGAAGGAACAAAGGGGAAGATCACGATCATCGCATCGTTCGGCTTTTAACACTTCACAGATGCAAACTAAGTCTTCCGGTGCATCGCGAAGTGCGCAGGTTCAGTCGCGAACTTCATCGTCGTTGTCAACAGCTCTTCCCTGTCCGCAAGCGTCGTCGGGAGCAGATCTCCTCAGTTCATCGGCCCTAGCGCGTACAGCCTCTCATAGGTCGCAGACTCTGACACACGCTATTTCTCAGAGTACACAGGTTTTGTCACCATCAGATTCTCCTGGTTCGCAGCTTAAATCTGTTAATCAACGGCAACCCCAGCTTAAGTCTCATAATTCGTCTCCAGATCCTCCACGACAGACTTCTGCATTCGTCTATCCTCACAGTTCGCAGACTTCCTCTCTATCTGTTGTTCTGAGTTCTCAGGATGAGACGCATTCGGCTTCTCCCAGTACGCCAGCGTCTTTTCGAATCGCTTCTCACAGTCCACAAGTTCTATCGCTCGGTCTGGAGATGGTTAGCTGGCAGCAAACTCACTCTGAAGATACTTTCATCTATGGTGATGCAGGAAGAGAGGAGAAATCTTCTGTGGTGACTCAATCCTCAACGGCCATGAAAAATGAATCTGCTGATGATAATTATAAAGTGGAGAATAAGGTGGTTCCTGAAATCTCTATAGAGGGTGAATATTCAGCGGCACCTACTAGTATGTTAAAGCTGGTTGGAAATATAGAAGTGGAACACTGCCCGCTTGGAAAAATTGTTAAAGCTTCTATCTCCTCACTGGGGCTAATAAGGTTGGGGGCAGATCAGGACAGGGAAGCAAGGAGGTTTCAGGAATCCTTCTGTAATGGAATGTTGGGAAAACAGTTTACACGCGCATCAGACCATAGTTCTGAATGGTTGTACATTGATTGGAAGGGAATTCCTCCCTCTATTCCTGCTGTGGAATACGAGCATAAAAATGCTTGGCTTAATGCTGAGTTGTTTGAAACTAACAGGTGGAATGGTTTATTGACTTTTCGCCATAGAAATGATTTGGATGCAATAGGTACTGATTATATAGAACTGATTCACAGAGCCAATATATCAGCTGATAGAAATAGTGTGAGGAGTATGGTTGTGGTTGCTATCCGATCAGGAAGAGTCTACTCTAGATTGGAAGCTGTTCTGGGTTCATCCTCTCGCATCCCATTCGAAGGAAGCACTGAAGATGCACCATCTACATATTCATCAGATGATGACTACGTCCAGAAACAGAACCTTCTTAAGTGGCCTGGCAGTCCCACTTTTGATGCTAAAAAGGGAAAAGTTTGTGATAGTATAAGCACTGTGTGTGGAAATATACCTCAAAAGGATCCCAACAATATCCAGCAACATAGTAGATGGATTATATACATGGTAAAGGCTGTCCAGTGGGCTAGCATTCAGTTGAGAAACACAGCAATGGAGATCGTTTTCAACGACTCTACTGCTCCAAGGTTTTTCAATTTTGTAACCCAAAATGATGCAAAGGATATTGGCAGCTGGATTATTACAAACAGAGATAAATCAATGTCTCCAAAAAGGTACAGAGACAAGACAAAAACTTTGATCAACGTGTTGCATTGGAAGTCGTTGAAATCTATAAGGGAAGTTGGCAGAGAAAAGAGAATACTAACTCTCAGCACTTGATGATTCTTAACAAACATGCTGGAAGATCTTACAATGATTTAACTCAGAGTTTGGTATTTCCTGAGGTTCTGGCTTATTATTCATCAAGGAATTTTTGGTTCTCAGGTGTTCCTTTTCGTAGCTGCAATCCAAAAATGCTTTCAGAAAGTCTATTTGAGTGCAGATCAACCATTTTTGGATAGCCAGAGGTTTGTAAATGTATTTGTGCAAAATTTGGAAGAGTTGGCATATTGTGTCATTGCTTTTCTGCAAATAACTGAGCAGCAGATTCACACATGGTTGATGGATGCTACTCCATTCCTTGCTGGTGAGGAGGATAATATTCAAAGTTGGCAAGATTCTGGGGCATTGTTACCGGAAGAAGTGATAAATTCTTGTGGCGCAGCAGGAGTGATCCTCAAAGACAATGACCGCAATGAGATGCAGGAATTACTTAGAGGCTGTGAAAATAATCAAGTGAGGAACATGAAGATGAAGGTTCAGGTGAAGGTAGAGGCGTAAGACTGAAGAGGAAGATGAAGATGAAGTGGAAGATCATGGCTGATTCCTATCACCCACCTTGAGGACAAGGTGGTTGTTTAGGGGGGAGTATTGATAGGAATATGGCTTAGTAGGCTAATACTAAGAAATAATAATAATAGTAAAGGTACTGTCAGTAGTATTGTTAGAAGGGAGTAATAATGGGTTTTGGGGGTAAAATTAGCTAAGGAGTTCAGTTTGGTCCCTGCGTGGATTTTTATTATAAATAGAAGTGGGGGGTAGCTAATTAGAGTAGGCTGTTATTTGATTTGGGTGTTGCCTTGGAGAGTGGGCTTCTCGAACAGTCCCGGTTGCCTTGTTGCCTAAGTTTTGATATTTCTTATCAATAAACATCAACTTCCCTAAATTCCTTATTAGATTTGTGGTGCTAGTTTACTTTTTTTCACTTGGATTATTACCAGCACTATCAACGCCTGACTCGGGTGAAGCACATTACTTAAATAAAATGCATATTATATACATAGTAATATACTAGAACTTCATTATATACATAACAATACTATATGAGTGTGGATGAAGAGGACTGCATGAAAAAGAACACATCTTGTCAAGTGTTGTGAGGGAGAACTGAGTTTGCTTGAGATGATGAAGAAAATTGAAAGAACTGGCTGATGTAGAACAGCTTGAGTGAGAAGAGTGAGTAGACTGGCTAGCGACAATGGCTTAGTGTTTTACACAAGATTTTACATTTTTACGTACTTGACTTAAGGTTTTACATAGCTTTAAATGGTTTTATCCTATTATTTAGATGGGCTAAGCGTTATTAAAGAATGGGCTAATTATTTTTGAAAGTTTTAAACCCAAAAAAAGGCTTGTCAGCCTTTTCTGGATCAGGCGACCCAGGCGTGCGCCTCCCTGCGCTTCATGTGCTTATGCCTGACCCAAGTACGTGCGCCTCTCCTTCTCCTAAGCGCGGAAGGCCTTGCTCGCTGTGCCTGGTGCGCTTAAGCACTGGGGCGAGCGCTTTTGACTACCTTGCACTTATCTAAAAAGCGCAGTGACAATTTTGTAAATAAGTGAACTTTTTCCCACCGGGAATTTTATTTAGTATTCGAACATCCAAGTGCGGCGCAGCTAAGTAAAAAGTGAAAATTTCTATTTCTCATGTCACACTATTTTTATGTGAACCACGCCCTATATATGTGTGTGTGTATACACAAAAATATAATATATATATACACCACATATACATATGGGTGTGTTTGTTTTTGATACAAATTTCATATCCCTTCTTTACTCTTAGATGCGTGCAGATGATTTTAGAACAAATCGACATGGTGTTGTTTCACAGCTTCGAGATGGTGGATACTCTGATGATATGACCCTTGCAGCTATAGCTGGTATGCCTTTCTGCTTATTTTTAGCCCTGATTTCTCAAATGGTTTCGAAGTTGATATCATTGGTGGGCAATCCATTGCTTAGGTGCGAATCAGAGGCTCATCACTTCACCACCGGTTGCGGTCTTTCCTCATCCACTTGCAACTGATCTAACCTTCCCAAGGCATGTAGTTGGAGACCAAAGATATCGAGTTCTCCATATACGTGTTAAAGACCCTAAATATTATCTATCCTAAACCTTTATTAACCTGGTCTTCTTTGGACTCATCTAGGTACTGGAATTATTTAAGGAAGCAAACGTTTGTGTTGGAGTCATACACGACAAAAGTTAATTGGCTTATGAACCGTGCATTATTTTTTACCCACTGCTATCTCTCGTGGGGATTTGTAGCTCCATATTTCATGGCTGGCTTTCATGTTGCAGCAACACTCAGGCAGTCCTTTAAAAGTTATTCCTCTGCAGAATCAGTCTCCATATGTAACGGTATGTGAATTCTACTTGATTTTAACTACTACTATCCATATTGTTTGCAGACTGAAATATAAAATTTTATTCATTATAATGAAATGCTATACAAGTAGCTCTATTTATAGCAATATTAGAGCATTAGGGTTTCTATACACAAATGGGCCAATACAACTAGGGTTTTCACACTCCCCCTCAAGCTGGAGCATATAGATCATATGCTCCAAGCTTGTTACAAATATACTCGACTCTATGACCTCTAAGAGACTTGGTTAAAAGATATGCAAGTTGATCAGTTGTGTTGACATATTTTGTGAAAATATGTCCAACTACGATTTTTTCTCGAATAAAGTGGCAATCAACTTCAATGTGTTTAGTCCTCTCATGATATACCGGATTTGATGCAATGTGCATTGCGGCTTGATTGCCTCACAATAATTGAACCGGTTTTGTACTCCCATATTTTAGTTCTTGGAGGAGATGATTCAACCACAAGATTTCGCATGTAGCAAGGGCCATCGCACGGTATTCTGCTTGAGCACTGGATCTGACAACCACATCTTGTTTTTTACTCTTCCAAGAAATTAGATTTCCACCGATCAAGATGCAATATCCCGAAGTAGAACGTCTATCCATCGGACATCCTGCCCAATCTGCATCACAGTATCCCACAATATCACAGTGACCTCGGTCTTCGAAGAGCAACCCTTGACCTGGTGTTTTCTTGATGTATCTCAAGACTCGAATAGCTGCATCCCAATGTCCATTACATGGCTTATCAAGAAATTGACTAAGAACACTTACCGCAAATGAAATATCTGGTCTTGTGATGGTAAGGTAATTTAGTGTGCCAATGAGTCTTCTATATTTTCCTTTGTTGGGAAAAGGGTCTCCTTGCTCTGACAAGAGTTTGACGTTTGGATCCATTGGTGTATCCCATCGTCTCTCAAGCGCTGTCATCCGAGTGCATCTGCGTGAAGAATTGTTGCTGATGCTGATAAAGTCTCATATAAATATCCTCCTGATGCTGATGGTGATTCATCCCCTCCCAAGTGTTGGGATACACGTATCCTTGGGGAGGAGGCACATAGGGGGCCTTGTGAGCCATGTCATGCTCCATCTCATGCATATCATCATGCTGCTCATGCTCTGCTTCGCCACCCTCAACAAAATGCATAGCTCCCTGCTCTGGGGCTTCATGCCCCCCGACTCCATCTCCTTGCTCCTCCTTGTGCCTTGACTGGAATCTCCTTAGGTAACTTCTTCATCGGCTGAGTGCTGTCGATCCTAGTCATCCCCTCGAATTGGTCCCCATACCCCATCCCTCTCAACAGCCGTGTAATATACGGGCCAATGAACAGAGCCAACTCGGTAAGTGCCCTGTATGAGGAAAAGGCTCGCAAAGAGAGCGCCGAAGATCGGTCTCCTCTCATGAATCATGCAATAAAGACAGAAAAAGTCAGTGACGGAGACCTTGCCACTTGCTTCTGCGCGGCCGTTAACAGTGGAACTCAGAAGGGTGCGGATGACTCTGTACTGGAATGGGTGTAGGGCTGCGCTGGGTGAAGTCTGTGGTTTATACTCAACGTCACCCGTAGTAATAGACTTCCAGAATTCTTGCCGGTTCACTTCTGGTGGAATATCAAGTAAGCTCTCCTCAAAGCGAGCAACGTCATCCAAGGTGTCAAAGCCTAGGTGTGCAGAGATGTCACTCACGGAAATAGCATGGGACTCGCCAAAGGCTTTGAACTCAATCACCGGGGAAAAGATATTATCAATGGTCTTTAGGGCTTTGAAGGAAGAGAGCACCTCGCATGTGATTTATTTGTAAGTCGGCTCGTCAATGCCGAAGAAAAGATGCTGCCACCAATCGCGATGGAGCAGCTGCATGACCTCGTCCTTGATCCCTGCCTGCACTAGTGTGGGTAAGTGGGGAAACAACCTTTTTCCCATGTCCATGCTCATTAACTCCTCATATTTATGCCTCTGTGTCTCGTTTAGGAACTGTGGCTGATACTGGGTAACAGGCTGACGACTTCCACTTGGTCTGGAAAAAGTTTTTTTCAACAAAGAATCCAACGGGGCTTCCAAGTGTTAGTAAGAAGCACAAGAGTTCAGAAAACAAATAGCCCCGTTGTTCACAATGAAGCAAAACAACCTTACGTGTCAAAACAACCCAAGTTTAACAAGAATAGTAGAAAATTTAGAAATTTATCAAAGAAAAATTCTTTGAATAAAATCCAAATTTTGAACGACACACGGTATAAACGAGGTCACAAGCAAGAATAGAGCATCACAACTAATTTTTATGTCAGGGTTCTTCTAAAAAAACATCAAAGTAAGCACATTTTAGGGAAGAACACTCAATTTCACAACTTGGCCAAAACAAATTCAACAATTGGGGATTCATTGTGAAATTGACTTTACCACAATCATAGAACATCACAAGCACCAATTCAAGCTACAATTTAAGCAAATAACACAAAATCCCCAATTTTTCTCACATTCAACACTTTCCAACCCTAAATTGGTCAAATTAATTCAAAAATTACGGATTCCATGTAATAAAGGCTTCTTAGCACTCATAGAACATCAATGAACCAACAACAAGCCTTAATTTAAGCTTAGAAATTCGAATCCCTAATTTCCGAGCAAAGTCAATTTTCAGAGAAAAAGCTTCAAAACTTCATTAATGGTGGAAGAAGAGTGAATACCTTGATAGAGGAAGAGAAAAGGGGTAGAGGGATGTTCGCCGGTGGTCGTCGGTCGGTTGCGGCGGTCGCAAGCGGAGTGGAGGTCCGCACGTCGTTCATCGCAAGAGAGAAGAGAGCTGTGTACGTCGTGTAACTTTAGCCGTAAGGGTTGTTTTAATATTTTTCACGCGCGCGTGCGTAACCCCCCCACACAGCCGTGCGTGGATGGCAGTAAGGTCCAGGCCGTTCCCCCCTTTGACGCACGGCGTGCGTCTTGGACGCACGACCGTGCGTCCCTACGATTTCTTTTTTTTGGGTTTTTTTGTGGGTTTTTTTGAAAAGCAGTAAAACTATACTAATGAAGCAAAAATTAAGCTCAGGTTGCCTCTCGAGAAGCACTATTTTTAACGTCGTTTGCCCGACGCAGCTACACACTCATCTCTCAAAATCCGTGACAAAGGTCACCTCACGCTCGCGATCTAACGGTCCTCCGTAGTATTTCTTCAGGTGATGGCCGTTAACTTTAAAACGGCCCTTCTCAGGATGGTCAATTTCAACTGTACCGTATGGAAAAACTTCATTAACTATGAAAGGACCAGACTATCTAGACTTCAATTTTCCTTTAAAAATTTTCATTCGGGGATTGAATTGCAGAACTTGACCCCCCTTACAAAACTCTTTGCCCTGTTTGATATGCCGGTCATGATAGGCTTTGGTGCGCTCTTTACTAATTTTAGAGTTCTCATAGGTCATAAGCCTCCACTCATCCAACTCATTGAGCTTCCAAAGCCGCTCGTGCCCCACCAAATAAGGTCTTTGTTCAACATCTTCAAAGCCCAGTAGGCCTCAATCTCATCCGGAAGGTGGCATGCCTTACCATAAACTAAGTGAAACAGAGTAGTGCCAATGGGTGTCTTATACGCTGTACGCAATGCCCACAACGCATCATCCAACTTATCTGACCAATCCTTCCTATGGGTCTCAACATTCTTTTCAAGGATGGTCTTAATGTCCCTGTTCGAATTCTCAACTTGGCCACTAGTTTGAGGGTGATAAGGAACTCCACCTTTATGAGTGACCCCGTACTTAGCCAAAAGGCGTGTCATAGGATCATTCCTAAAGTGGGTGCCCCTGTCACTACACAAAACTCGTGGCACTCCAAACTTAGAAAACAACTTCTTCAGAAAACGGATCACAACTCTAGCATCGTTAGTGGGCAAAGCTTGAGCCTCAACCCACTTAGAAACATAGTCACAACAACAAGAATGAATTTATTACCTTTAGATGCCGGAAACGGTCCCATGAAGTCAATGCCCCACATGTTAAGATAAAATTCTGGGGCATCTCATCCCTCTTGTTAACCGCCCCAGTGCGTTGACACCTGTCACAAGCCTGCACAAAATTCAAAGCATCCTTAAACAGAGAAGGCCAGAAGAAACCACATTCCAAAACTTTACGGGCTGTCCGGTTAAAAGAATAGTGTCCCCCAGTTGGTCAGGAATGACAATGTTCCAAAATTTTAATTCCTTCACACAAGGAGACACATCTTCTAATAACTTGATCAGCACAAACACGAAACCAATGAGGTTCCTCCCAGAAATAGTATTTCAGATCAGCAAAAAATTTCCTACGCTGGTGAAGTGTATAATCAGAAGCAACGACACCCCAACCAGATAGTTGGCGATGTCTGCATACTAAGGCACCTCATCAGCTATAAGCAACAGTCTCTCACCAGGAAAAGTACCCTCAATGTCTCTCTGACACGGGGTATCTAGAAAGGAGTTTTCTAACCTACTCAAATGATCAGCTGCTAAATTCTCAGTCCATTTCTTGTCCCTAATCTCAATGTCAAACTCCTGGAGCAGTAATATCCACCGAATCAATCTAGGCTTAGCATCTGATTTTTGCAAAAGATATTTGAGAGCAGAATGATCGGTGAATATCACTACCTTAGACAAAATCAAATACGAACGAAACTTCTCAAGCGTAAACACATCAGCAAGCAATTCTTTTTCAGTGGTAGTGTATTTTTCTTGGCCACTATCGAGAGTCTAAGAAGCATAAGAAATAGGTTGAAAATGTTTCTCTCGCTGCCCAAGAACAGCTCCTACGACGTAGTCACTAGCATCACAATTAATCTCAAAAGGTAATGACCAGTCAGGAGCTAGTGGTGCTCCCACTGGTGCCTTGACCAGTTTCTCTTTCAAACATTCAAAAGCCTCTAAACATTCCTTTGAGAAGAGTCAAACGGGGTGTCCTTCTCAAGGATCTTGGTCATGGGTTGAGCTATCTTAGAAAAGTCCTGGATGAACCTACGGTAAAAACCTGCGTGGCCCAGAAAACTCCTAATAGCATGGACTGAGGTAGGGGAAGACAATTTAGAAATAACATCAACCTTAGCCGGATCAACCTCAATCCCCTTACTCGATATCTTATGCCCTAGTTACACTCCCTCTTGAACCATGAAGTGGCACTTCTCCCAGTTATGCACCAGATTCACCTCTCTACACCTAACAAGAACTTTTTTCAAGTTCTCTAAGCACTCATCAAAAGTATCACCAAACACAGAGAAATCATCCATAAACACTTCCATAAACTTCCCAATAAACTCCCCACAAATTAGTTGCTTTAATAGGAAATCGTCAAAGTTTTTTGGGACAACCAAAAGTTAGGGAAAAGTTGTCAAAGTTCAATGGGACGGAGGGAGTATTCATTATACTTCATATTGAAATGCTATATAAGTAGCTCTATTTATAGCAATATTACAACATTAGGGTTTCTATACACAAATGGGCTAAGCCCAATACAACTAGGGTTTTCACACAGATTATTCTAAGTCTTCATGAAATATCTATTTAATCATGTTCTGGAATCTTGTTTATGGATCGCAATATGATTTGTATTGTACTTGATTATCACTCCCCTAGTATCAACACTAAATAAGGGAAAATTCCCGAAATAGGAGTAAAAATGTTTGAGAATTCCAAATAGGACTGTCATGTTTTTATTCCCAAAATAGGAGTAATTACTGTCAAGTTTGGAAAATACTGCCATATAATTTCTCCTATTTTGGAAATAAAATTATGATAGTCCTATTTTGAAATATACAAACGTATTAAGTTGTATTTAGGGTAATTTTCCTGCTAAATATGACTGCATTGTACATAGAAAATATATATGCATTGTATTCGGAACAAGATTTTTAAGTAAATTTGTTTGACTGCACTCGATTTTTTGAGTTGCACCTTTGCTTGACACGGTCACCCATATAATTTGATTTCCATTTTAAAAATTTATTTATTTTATCAGGTTTGCCACTTGCTGTTTGCCTTGCGATATGCACAATAATTGAACTTCTTTCTATGGGGAACTTGACAAGAATAGAGGTTAAATTGTGCAACTTGCTTTCTCCCGAGGCACCTCAGTTGTCACTCTATTCTTACAACTGGTGTCTTGTAAGTTATATTTATCTTTACCAGAAAAGTAAAAGTGCGCCTTTCCTTTTTTTTATACTGTTTTTTCTATTTATTGAGATGCCTTCATAATACTCTCTCCGTCCCGCTAACAATGGGACAAGAGGGAGTGACACACAAATTAATAAAAAAATGGTTTATGTGGTTGATATTGAATTGATAAAGTAAGAATAAAGTAAGAATGATTTAGAGCCACACAAACTTTACCAAATTTGGTATGGGACAATCTTAGTGGAACGGACCTATATGGTAAAATGGGACAATCATAGCGGGAAGGAGCTAGTAATATTAAGGTGCAACCCGTTTAAAGGTCAAAATCAAACAATACGTTCAGTTGGTGGAAATTATGGTGTTCCTCTTGTTTTGACAAGGGAAAAAAGGGAACCGTGTTAAAATCTCCCATCTTCATCTCCCTTCCTCTACCTAGTACACTGTTACCCTTATGAAGCATGAAAATTGGAAACTTCCCCCAGCTCATGTTTTCCCATTTCGGAAACTCGGAAACTTCAAATTTCCGTTTGGGGCTGTTTCCGTAATTAAGAAGAATTGGGAAATCCGTTTCCCTAAATACTTAAAATGTTTCGAGGACTGGGGCCTCTCTAAATATTAACGTTTCGTGAATATTGGGTTTCATTTTTTTGTTTCTTTTTCACTATATTCCTTGATGGAAAACAGTGCCTTTTTAAAAAACTTTAATGAATTCTTATGGAACTTATTAGCAACAGTGTGATATTTCATAACGAGATGTATTGTTAGAAATGTATTCTATTTTATATATTTTTTAATTATATACTCCATCCGTCCCATAGAGAGGTTCCCGTTACGGTTTACGATGTTTGACTGACGATAAAGCAACTTAATCCCCGTTCACACTCTAATTATTTTTAGTAAATAAAATTTACATGTTCAGAAAGTACATTAAAACCGCTACAAAGCCTGATAAAAAATGTAAATTTGATAAAAAAATTGATATATAAAGCAAAAAATTAAGAATGATTTAGTAGACGAGAACCTTTGAATGAGATGGAGGTAGTATTAATTATGAATTTTGGAGAGAGTAAACTAGCAAAGTGGAGGGTGCATATTCGTGCGAATGATTGATCCCTTTTCTCTTGTTTTCTCTCCTTTTTTCTTTATCTGTTATCTTCTTTATCTTTCTATGTTCTTATGTGATACTCCCCCCGTTTCCAAAAGAAAGTCACGGTTTGACTTCACGATTATTAAGGAAATAAATTGACTTTACTGTAGAAAACACTGTTTAGACACTGTTTGGCACTGTTTGGACACTGTTTGGCACTGTTTGGATGTAAATTTCTTTGCCAAATAAAGAAATAAGAGAAGTGTGACTTTGTTTTTGAAACATCTCAAAAAGGAAAGCGTGAGTTTCTTTTAGAAACGGAGGGAGTATTTATCTTTATGTTATCCATTTTGTCTTACCTTTTTTTTATTTTTCTTATCTTTCTTCTCTTTTTGGTGTGATATCTTGGATCGACTAATGTTAGCCAACCCCAAAATCTTTTGGGAATAAGGCTTGGATGTTGTTGTAATTATGTACTAAAATGTACTACTCCCTCCAACATGTAAATTCCTAGATTGACTTTTTAGTCAAATTTTATTAACTTTGACCGTTAATTATTCAAAATTCAAAGTATTTTATCATACAACGTCAATTTCATATACTTTATTGCAAAAGATGTGGGTCTTGTTATTAATGTGGGTCTTGTTATTGCAAAATTAATTTCATATACAAAAGGATTCTTTCTTTTATCACACCTTATTAATTTCATATAGTTTTTTGCAATATCCTTATTATAAACCATTTCCTCATTCTTTGTTCCCCATCTAAGCTTAATTTTCTCCACTTTCATCCCTTGTGTTTTCTCCTGCTCTTTCCTCACTTCCTATCATCCAAACATTGCCTAAATGGCTTTGGTGAATGGTTCTGTCCGCATGTGAGCTAATGTAGTATAATGACCCATAAATTCAATTAGTGAAGCTCGTGTGAGATGGTATCAATGTATCATGGAGCTCCCTCATGCGAGACCCATTATCACATTTTAGCTTAGAACTAATACTTTCGAGCTAAAAACAATAACTCTCACTTTTAAAAGTGTTTTATTATTATAAGTCCCCTCCCTCCATATTAATTTTTGGCAGAAACTGATAAGCCTCATGAATTGAACACCGTGTGAGCAAGTGGCATAGTCAGGGGCTCAAAATGGGCTGGGCTGGTACAATTATTTTTCACTACATATTTAACATAATTTTTTACACTAATATTTAACATTTTTAAATGTGGGGTGGTGGGCCAGGGCCTAGTATGGCCTCATGCGTGTGAGACCATGCCACATAATTTTTTGTGTAATGCTATCGAAGAGTCTGATGGGGTCTTGTGTTGTTAAGATCGATCAGTCTACAATAACCCACCTAATGTTTGATTGATGGGTGATGAAATAGGTATTTATGGCAATGCTCGTGGACAATTTCTTGTACCCCATCTCTGCATTCCGTTCATATTTTTCTCAGTCCATCAATTGGTCTGGCATTCGATATCATTTGAGGAATGGGAAGATAAGTAAGGTATGTGCATGCATTATTTATATGGGAGTTTTGTTTGACAGAACCGGTGGGCGTAGCTCAACCGGTAGTGAGGGAGTGTCATAAGAGTTGAGTCCCGGGTTCGAATCCTGTCAACTGCGATAAGAGGTTACTATGTTAAAAAATGCATAGGGCCTCTACAAGTACCGGGGACAGAGCCTCATTCTCTATCTGTCAGATTGTGATTATAGTCTAATTTACATCCTTCCAACGTACCGTCCGGTCGGTGTTGGAGGTCCTCAGGGAGGTGTCATCCTTTTTTTTGCGTTGGACAGAGATGTGAAATCCTTCATTTCACTATTTGCAGATTGAGAGGCACAGGGATATTGTTCCCAAATATACAGACTTGGGAGGAAAGAAGCTAAGATGGAAGGGAGGCCCACATAAGGTTTCCATTATTAGTTCTCTGTGCAGAAGTCTGGCCTTTTGGAGTCAGCCCAAGAAATATGATGTGTAGATATTTTGGAAGAAACATTTGTTCATTATATATTTTTTATTATTATTTTAATTATTATTCATTTGCTCCTCGGTCCCTCTTTGATTTCCGACACAGTCAAGGAGAAAAAAATCTTCGGGGGTTGTGACTGCTCACTCTCACACCCTTGGCCTTCACTCATTACCGACTGAGTGATTTGGGAGTCATTTCATTGTATTTGTTCAATATATGAGCCTCCATTGTTTTGGCCTGCTTCTTGTAATTTCATTTGTTGTTTTGGTCCAACGATAGGCATATTGTTATTGTGTCACCTGAGAGAGATTAATTAAATTACCTGTGTTATCCATTTGGGGCCAGGAATTTATTTTGTATTTTAGTGGTTGCTTAATCTCCCAACAAAGAATTCAGCTCATCAACAAAGTGTGTCGGTTTTGGACGATGGATCAACAGTCTGATTTTCCAGTTCGGTCTGATTATAATTCCTACTTCCTGACCGGACCACACCCTACCCAACCTAATTTTGACTCTGGTTTCACTTATGCCACATTGGGTTCTGGACAATATTTTTTAGGGAAAACTGTCAAAAAGGTCCTCGTTATTGAAGTCAATTAGATCCTCGTACTTTAAAAACATCCAATTAAGCCTTCAAACTTTTTAAAAACGATCAATTCAGCTAGATTACCGGTGACTAGGGTTGGACTCAGGCCGGACCAACCGGCCTGGAACCGGATAGGCCCGCTACTGTGCGGGCTCGGACCGGCCCGGTGAACCGGTTGGTTGGCCGGTTCGGGCCACCTGGCCCGGTGGGATGGTGGTTCGGGCTCGGGCCCTTCAAAAGGTGAACTGGTCCGGCCGGTTCAGGCCTGGGCCGGACCAATTTTTTTTTGATTTTTATTTAAGTTTTTGGGTTGGGCTGGGTATTTTGGGCTATTTGAGGTGGTTAGGGTTGGTTTGGGGGTGAGGGGGAGGGTTGGGGGTTAACTAGGAAAAGCCAAAAAAAAAAAAAATAGAACCGAGGCCCGGACCCGGGGGTTACCCGGGCCAGTTTCGGGCCTCCCATACCTTGAACTGAGGCCCGGCCGGTTCAAGGCCCGAAGTCCCGAACCGGGCCCGGCCCGAACCGAGTCCATCCCTACTGGTGACGAGCTGTTTTTCCGGTTAATTAACCCACGTGGCAATTACTAAGGTTTCCATTTTTTTTCTTTGTTTCTTCCTTAGCTTGGCTTCTTATTGCCATGTGGACTCTTCCCTGCTACTTGATTTTCCAACCAATTCCAGATCAGGTCCATCGTTGTTGCTGGAGGACAAAGTGGGCCTTGCATCGTTGCTTCCGGACGAGAGGGGTTAGCTTCGACCTTCACCGCCGCTGGAGAGGGGAAGCTTTAATGGTGTAGCAGGGGACTAGGGAGGTTTGCGTTGGACGACACCGGGATCTATTCAACCACTGGTGCCATCTTTTCTGGTGATTACAAGAGAGGATGTTTCATAATTTTTGTTTTATTTCATCCATAAAAGCTGCCATGCCATAAAGCAAGCCTCCCTTCCCATCTTCGTTTGGCATCTTCGCTTACCACTGTCTGTGATTTTCTTCAGGGATGAGCTTTGGGACAAGGAACAATATGCCATTCACCATTCAAGGAAGCAAGCCCTCGTCGTGTGCAAGAAAATCTCAATGACGTCGGATGCTCAAAAGACAAACCTTGTCATTCGCCGCCTGGCCGGGGATGCCATGTGTCGTGACTGCCATGGACTGCCATGTGGCCCGTGTGTGGTGACTGCCATCAACTCGAATTCGTGCCATGTGAGGAAGAAGAGTACAAGACAGAGAATAGAATGAAAGAAAAAGAAAAGGAAAATAAAAGGTAAAAAGATGGTTGACCGGGAAATTGACAGTTAACCGGTGAATAAGCTGAATTGATCGTTTTTTTTAAGTTTGAGGGCTTAATTGAGTGTTTTTAAAGTACGAAGATCTAATTGACTTTTTCGATATAGTACGAGGGTCTTTTTTATAGTTTTCCCTATTTTTTATTTTGAGTCAACACTTCACTTTTTTCACTACAATACCCTTTTTCGGTAATAAATAGCCAAAAATGTACTAATGGGTTGTGACTTAGGGGTTGTTTACTTTTTTTCTCATTAAGTGTTGAATGGAGTAAGATGTCTGTTTGCATTAAGCTGTTTACTAAGTGTGCTGAATGAGAAGTCTGAATCATGTCTAATTACCAAATAACCCTCGTGTCTGTAAGAAGTGCTGAATGTATATTCTCTGTTTACTTTCTTTGTTTTGAAATATAAAATGTATATACCAGAAAATACTAATACTATGAATTATTTAAATAAAAGAGTCATTGCATGATAAAACAAGGTCATGAGTTTTACGAGAACGACATTTTAAATTTAAACATTTCATACTAGTCTATTGGCAATTTCATCCTGCAAATTTGCCATATATTGTAGACTTTGTGTACCCCATTGTGCTCCATGCCTCCATGTACTTACTCTCCAATCTCTTCAACTTCCTCTTGTGCTTGATTGTTGATTGCATCGTCATTATCCCATCCATCGAAGAATTTATCATCAATGTTAGATTTTCTAATAAAATTGTGAACCACAAAACAAGCAATAACCACATTCCTTTGTACCGCAAATGGATAAGGAGCCATTTGTTCTAAGATTGGAAATCTTGATTTCAAGACACCATAAGTACGTTCAATCACATTCCGAAGTTGTGCATGTGCATGATTGAACTTTTCATCTTTAGTCAGTGCACGATGACGTCGATAATCTGCTAACCAATACCTTGTGTTACGATATGGAGCCAAGAAACCACGCGTGTTTGCATATGTAGCATCACATAAATAATATTTCTGTAAAAAAATTCAAATGTTATAAAATTGTTAATTAAATTAATAACATTTAATGAAAATTAGAAATGATGCGCACCTTGCGGAGGAAACGGGAAACCAGAATTAGGATTAAATACAACTTGAGTTAGTACTCGAGAATCATGTGCTATTCCTTCCCAACCAGCCCAAACAAAAGTGAATACCATATTGAAATTACAAATTCCTAAAACATTTCGATACCAAACAAAAGTGCTCTTCCTCAATTAGCAAATCTTTTAGAGGGCTAAACCATTTTAAAACACTGATTGATAACATTAATACAGTGTTTTGGATTGAGATACTATAAAGCTAAATACATAATCTACTAAAATACTTAAGTGTCTAAGATAGTTACCTGGCCTATTTTCCGTCATAACGGTCTTCGATTTTTCTTCGTTTTTGCCGCATTCCCAACTAACACATTCCTCCGTTTCTTTCCATTGGTTTTCACTCGCCTTCGAATGACCAGCCATCCGCACAACAGCTCATCAGCTACTATCTTAGGCGGTTAGGGATCACGCTGTGCAGGTATAAGTATCTAAATGTGTTCTGCTTCCTGCGTAGGTCTTCTGAAATCGCTTGTGCCGCTTTTTATATACCTCAATTCTTCTGCACTCTGCTGTTATCAGGTAAGACTGTCGTGGTTCTGTTCTTATCTATTGGTTCTTCTTGAGACCCAAATTCAGATGCGCGTCCAGATGGGCTTCTTCAATTTAAGGGGGATTTCTTTTAATTGAAGCGTGGTTCTTAGTGTTTGCATATTGTGGTTGTGTTTGATGACGATTGTGTGTCTGTGATTTTTAGTTTTTGTATTTGTTTTGTTCCTGGCAAATATAATTCAGTTCGTTAATGTGAAATTTCTTGTCACAGCCTGATGCGCATACACAATACGTGTGACTGACAGTAGTGGGGAATGATGTGTGGTTGTTGTTTAAATAAGATCACTTTGTGTTTTTATATTGTCCCTATCTTGTTGTCACACAACAACATGAAAAAGGTGTTTGATTGACAATTCTTGCCATGGTTTGCTACTGATACAGAATACATGTGATTCACAGTACTTAGGAATGATGTTTGGTTGTTGTTTAAATAATGTCACTTTGTTGGATAAATTCGGTAGTGTGATAATATAAGTCAGTGCTTAAATAAGGTCATTTTGTTGTTTTATGTTGTCAATGATCTTTGTTTGTATTCGGCGCGTTCAGATTTTGCATAGGCTGATATAGTATCCCTCAATCTGTGCTGTATGTAAAACTGCCACTTGAGAATCTGTTGTGTGTCATCTTTGTTTGTGTATTGTGCTACTGTAAAAGCAATCACACCGTTTTGTGTATTGTGTGTATTGTGTTTTATGGTTGTTAAGGGAGTTGTGTATTATTATATTCTCTGAATAGGCTTCCAATAACGAGTAACAACTGTGGTGCTTCCAATGGGGTATGATTCACAGTACTTATCTTTGAGTGTGCATGTAAACTGCGATGTTGTTCATGTGTGATTGGGGGAGACTTATTTGATATCACATATTTGTCTGTGCTCGGTTACATTATTTAGCATTTCTCAGTCACTTGACAATGCAGTTGGCGGTTTTTGTTTATGTGTAGGCCCTCCACAATCATTTATTCCACCTGCAGTGTCCCTTTGTGCGTCATGTGGGTGTCCTGCCATTTTTCCTGTTACTTTTTTTTTAGCAGATTACGCAGCGTTCCTATGTTTGCTTTGTTCATGCTGCCTTGTGTTTGTGTTGGGTGTATATTGTTTGCCTCTGCATATTGTTTTCATTTTTCAATTCAAGTGAAGCCACCATTGCAGTTTCTTGATCCAGTGTGCTTTGATTGTCGTGGCAGATTGGGTTACTTTGTCTTGCTTATAAATTGTGTACTTCCTTTTGTCTTGTGTTTTTTGAAAATTCTTTTCAAACTTTGCTCTGCCATTATAGCATATTCTTTAGCGTTGCCCTTTCTTTGGGTAGTCCACTTGTGATGCTTCCTCGTCGAGGTCGTGGCAGTAGGGTGCCTTTGGTTGAACAATGCGAACGTCGAAATAAACGTTGCCGCGTACATCCTGTTAGTATAAATGATGAACTTCAAGGTCTGCGCACTTTTGTGCTCATATTGGTCTACTTTCTTGTTTTATATTTGTATGGATTATTGTTTCCTAATTCTGTGTTTTTTCTTTTGTTTGCTATTTGTTGCCTTGTATTTAATCATTCCCCGTGCCACCACATCTCTTGTCTTATGTCTATCCACTGCATGCGTATCCATCGCAAATTCATTGATTGTGCTGCTCTATTGACATAATCCCATTCTTCTCATTCCAAAAATTTTTCATGCCCTTTTCTCTCACTGGATGTCGCCCTTTTTCACCTGTACCTTCCCCTGTATGTTGCTTCAACTTCCCTGGTCAAAATACGTGTGGTTCATATATTTATGTGTACTGATTGCTCGCTTCCTGCACTATCGTTGGTTCAATTGCTTGTGCACCTTACGTCCTTGATAATGTGCCTGCTTGTGCGCTTTGTGGTGCTGAACGTCTTCAGTATGAACCGGCTGGTATGTGTTGCAGTCGAGGTCAGGTTGTTCTCGCATCAACTGCCATGCCCACCCAGCTGAAAAAATTGTTCACAGCGCATGATCCTTTATCAAAGCATTTTCGTTCATGTGTGCGCACATATAACAACACCTTCGCATTCACATCGATTGGGATCTACAATTATGACAAACAGTTGTGTCGGCGCAATCAGGGGATATACACTTTCAGAGTTCAAGGCCAAATTTACCATTTCATCAACGACCTACTCCCTGATGGTTGTCCACCTCGAAATTTACAACTCTACTTCTATGACACCGATTATGCTATTGATGAGAGATTAGAATCTACGTCCCGGTTGGATAAAGATGTTGTCACCATCTTGATGGATGTCTTAGCTGCCAACCCATACGCCCAGTTTTTCAAAACACTTAGTGATGTGGATCACAGTGAAGAATTCACCATTGTGATAAACGCAAACCCATCCCTGGACCTGCGTGTCTACAATAAGCCCACTGCATCTCAGGTCGCTGCTGTTTGGGTTGAGGACGGTTATGAGGGCCTTCCTTCAACTAGGAACATTCGCGTGTACTCACGCAGTGGGAAATCTCAAAACGTCAATTACTACTACGGATGTTATGATCCATTACAATACCCTCAGCTTTTCCCTCATGGAGAGTTAGGCTGGCATGAAGGTATTCCAAAGTCAGGTTTTGCTTCACCACGCAGTGTCTCACTCACTCCATCCTCATTGTCTGTCGTTTCTAATGACTTTGGTTCTGCAGAAACTCTACTATCGCTGGAAGAAACAGTACTTGCAAGCGGTTCAAAAAATCACTCTGTATCATGTCGCCAATACTATGCATACAAACTGCAACTCCGCCCTGCAGATGTATCATTTATATTACACACTGGCAGACTGTTTCAACAATATGTCGTCGATATATATATATATCAAAATAGAAACTCAACGTCTTGATTACTATCATAGTAAACAACGGGATTGCCGCTTAGAAACCTATCAGGGCTTGGTTGACAGTGTTGAATCGGGTTTACACAACACTAGCGATGTTGGTAGGCGTGTCATCTTGCCCAGTTCTTTCATAGGTGGCCCACGTGATATGCGTGGTCGATACATGGATGCAATGACACTTGTACAGAAGTACGGTAAACAAGACCTGTTCATAACCATAACTTGTAACCCCAATTGGCCTGAGATTAAGAATCGCCTGTCGTTTGTTGATGAGGCTCAGAATAGGCCAGACCTTGTGGCTCGCGTGTTTCGTGCCCGTTTGGAATCCTTCAAAAAGGACATAATATCGAAGGCTTTACTTGGAAAAGTAGTTGCGTACACATATGTGATTGAATTTTAAAAACGAGGCCTCCCCCATGCTCATTTTTTGGTCATCTTAGACGGTCCCTACAAAATCACAACTCCTGCCCAATGTGATCGAGTCATTACGGCTGAACTACCTGATCCAGTTGCAGACCCGCTTGCATTTGGCCTTGTGAAAAAACACATGATACATGGACCTTGCGGGGTAATGAATCCTGATTGTCGGTGCATGATTGTTTCACATGGGTCAATCTCAAGAACGTGCAGAAGTAAATATCCGCATTCCTTTGTTCCTACGACAACATTCGATGCAAATTGCTTCTGTACCTATAGGAGGCGCAATTCTGGGTGCACTGTGACAGTCAGAAAACATGCGCTTAACAACATGTGGGTGGTCCCTTATAACACACACCTATTGAAGAAATATGATTGCCATATCAATGTAGAATGTTGTGCAAGTGTCAAATCCGTAAAGTACATATACAAATACGTATATAAAGGACATGACAGGGTCAGCATGTCTTTGTCACAAACAAACAACGACGAGGTTATTGATGAAATCACAAACTTTCAAAGAGCACGATGGGTTTCTCCTCCCGAGGCGGCGTGGCGCATATTTGGCTTTCCAATAGCCGAAATGAAGCCTGCTGTTTTGCCGTTGCAAGTTCATTTAGAGAATGCTCAATATCTTTCGTTTTATGGCGATCAACGTATAACCTACATAACACAGACCCCTGATTCGATGAAAACTATGCTTACTCAATTCTTCTGGATGAATACAACCAACCAAACTGCGATCAACTTGAACCTCCTATATCTAGAATTTCCCCATTACTTCGTTTGGACTGCTCACAAAAAAGAATGGACTCAGCAAAAAAGACATGAGGTTCTTGGTAGGCTTGTCTCTGTAAATCCCACTGAAGGAGAACAATATTATCTTCGTTTGTTGCTTGCTAATGTTCGTGCGCCAAATTTTTTTCCAGAACTAAAATCCATTAATGGTGCGTCGGTTTCAACATTTAGATTTGCTGCAGAACATTTGGGTTTACTGTCTGGAGATTTCATAGTACGTGCTTCTCTTGATGAAGCTGTAATATTCCAGCTACCTTCCAGTTTACGGAGGCTCTTCGCAACACATCTTTGCTATTCTGCCGTTCCAGATCCACAAACAGTTTGGCTTGACTACAAGGTATATCTGTGCGAGGATCTTCTAAGATTTCAGACATGTATGGATGTAGAAAGGGCAGTTTTGGCTTTGCTGAGGGATCTGATAAATGAAATGGGTCGAGATATCAATACGTTCGGTATTCTTGATTACACCCTGGAAATCCCCTTGTGTACTACGACTCCTCGTGAGGTATTGGCCGAACACAGTATAGTGATTAGTGAGGCGGATCTTGCTGGCATCTCTTTGTTGAATAATGAACAGCGGTTGGCATTTGAAACCATTATGGCAGCTGTGCGTTCAGCTGAGGGGGCAGTTTTCTTTGTAGATGGCCCTGGTGGGACAGGAAAGACTTTCCTATACAGGTGTTTGCTAGCGGCAACTAGAATAAACAAATGGGTTGCGCTTGCTACAGCTAGCTCTGGAATTGCAGCATCTATTTTGCCTGGGGGACGCACTGCCCACTCCCGATTTAAGCTCCCATTAGATGGAGAAGCAAAATACACTTGTAACATTGGGAAACAATCTGCAGATGCTAGACTTATTAGGGAAGCAAGACTTATTCTCTGGGATGAGGCTTCCATGGCTAATCGGATGATTGTGGAAAGTCTGGATACAACATTGAAGGCCATTTTGGGTGTGGACAGTCTCTTCGAGGGGCGTGTTGTTGTGTTTGGTGGTGATTTCAGGCAAACGTTGCCTGTTGTGCGCTCCGGAACTCGTGCAGACTTTATCAACGCATGTCTTGTCCGATCAGTAATAATATGGCCACATGTCCATCGGCTTCATCTTACTCAAAATATGCGCGCACATGAAGATCCACATTTCTGTGAATACTTGATGCGTATTGGCAACGGATCTGAGGCGCAACTGTCACCGGGAATGATTAAAATACCTTCCCATATTTTGCTTCCTTGGGTGAGTGAACCAACCTCGCTGGATCTTCTTTGTGATTCTGTTTACCCAGACATGAAATTGTTTCAAAGTAATCCATCTCCAGTTATGTCCCGTTCCATATTGACACCCACAAATGTCGTTGTTGACTTCATTAACTCGCATTTGATAGAAAAGTTCCCGGGTGAGGCTCACACATACCTAAGCTATGATGCTCCAATAGATTCAAAGAACACACACTGTGAATATTACCTTCACACTATCTCCGGTTGGTTTGCCCCCCATAAATTAGTCCTCAAACAGAATTTCCCAGTCATGTTGATTCGAAATCTTAATCCATGTGAGGGTCTATGTAACGGTACTCGCTTGATATGCGATTCATTTGGGGAGCACATTTTAAGTTGCCACATTGCATCGGGGGACCATAAGGATACACATGTCTTTATCCCAAAAATACCTCTTGAAGTTTCAAGCGATGACCACTCTGTCCTCCCCTTCAAACGTACTCAATTTCCAATCAAAGTTTGCTTCGCCATGACGATAAACAAAGCACAAGGCCAAACATTGGATTTTGTTGGAATCTATTTGAAAGAACCATTATTTTCTCATGGACAGCTGTACATTGCAATGTCTAGAGCCAAAAATATAAATTCCATTAAAATACTTATTTGCCCTGACGGACACACCTCAAATCGTTTTGACACTACTTGTAATATTGTGTACAACGAGATATTACCTTTCATCAATTAATTCCTCATTGTCACAGGTTTGGCCTCATTATTTAATAACCTTAATTTCCTTTTTTTGATTCAATTTGTTTTTCCCTTTTAAATTGTTTTCCCTCTAATATTGCAGATTCTATGAAGCCATGTCGACAGAACTATTAATAGTGGATATCAAACCGGAAACACAAAGCTGTAAATGTCGCTTAACTGTGGTAGAAAAACAAAACATCCGAACTGCAAAATCTTCTCCAATGAAATTTCTGCCCCTGGTTTTCGTTGATTCTGCTGTGAGCTGAATCTATATTGGTTATGTTTGTTATGATATTACAACAATTCACTGTACATTTGGTCATTATTTTTTCTTCTATGTTGTAGGGGAATAGAGTGTAGGCAACTGCTTTTGCAGGCGACATCTTTGGAATTGATGCACGTCTACAATTGTACTCAACCTACCTCATTTCCAGTGCATATGTCAAGCCCTTGACTGATCTGCGCTTCTGTGTAGACCACAACTACCAATATGTGTGGTCATTCACAAGACGCACATTTATCCAGGATGTTCTTCCTGAAGAAGGGGTGGACTTTCGCCAGATTGTTGAAAATACCACAATGCTTTTTCGAAGGATCTTTGACTGTTACTTAGCTGCTGAAAAACTAAGTGCATATAGTTTCCTCCAGCACACTATGATCCCCCTACCTTTTGTTATTAACTGTTTTCGCCATATGTTTCGTAGGTTTGCTGGGACTACCCCGTACCTTCATAGTGACGGGGGATGAACAAAAGGTTGCATGGGACGTCGTTCTGATTAATGAAGAGTAATATTACCTTTGCTCCCTCTACAACATACTTTTATCCTAATAAACATGCGTTTTTTTACATTCCTTCATTTCAGACTAACACTCGTGCCTATGACCATGTGGGAAGAATTTGTGACTCGATATGGTGCGGAAATTGATACACTTTTACAATCTGGTGACTGGCCAACTATTTTTGTCACCGGGGCTGCTGCAAATATTTATCAAGGTACTTCGTTTTTCCACTTTAATTAAAGTTACAAATTTACTATGTTTTCGTAATTCATTTTTTTATTTCGTGCAGGCCTATCACTGTCAACTCGCTATGATTCGCACATGGAATTAAACCCTGGCGGTGATCGCGCGCTGGTCCTGAAAAAATGGTGCCTTTCTTTTTTTATTTTCCCAGTTTGTACTTTTGCATTTTCCTCTTCACACCTTCTGTATCCCCCTGAATTGCTAAATCCTCCATGCCTTACTTCTTTTGCCTGCTGACAGGGCCAAAGATAACAGCGCGGCCATCAAACAGTTATTGTCTGAGAAACAATACGACCATGCTCTTGAAATTATAGCCCGTCCACTCTCACAGCCCCAAACACTTCTTGCTTCACTACAAACTAACCTTAATAAGGTCTATCCTGTCAACATCTTCTACATACATCTACGCCCTCTCTATTATACTGACTAGCTATGGAAATGTAGGTTCCAGTTGTGTGGGTCTGTGGCAAGGTCAACCTAGGCGACACTTCAGGAGAATCGTACTACATCGGCTGTGATTTTTGCAACCGTCGTGTTTACGCTCCAGGGGGCAACACTTTCAAATGCATGTTATGTGGACAAAAGGAAGCCCAAACAATAAAGCGGTGTGTGCCGCACATCATACTGTAAGCTATTATCATTTTATATCTGGCTCTTAATCTAATCACTTTCATCCAGATTTATATTGAACGCCACACTCACTGACGGTACTGCCACCATTCCGGTGACATTCTTCACAAACGAAGTGCTCAAGCTTTATGATTATATTTGTATGGATCCTGCAAAAACCCGCGACACCAACGTACTTGATGCAGAACTACAAAAGATGACTGTTATTGCTGGCGTGAAGCGCGCCAAAATCAGTGAACAAGGCCTGCGTGGCAACCCTTATAGTGTTGTGTGTGTTTCCCAAGACAAAACACCAACACCAAATGCACTGCCAACTGACCTTGCATCCACAAGCTCTAATGATGTTCATGCTGCCCTACCGAAGAGGAAACTTGCATTCCCAACCCAAACGGATACTGATATTCCACCTCCATTGGGTACTAATGACGAATATACTTGTGATGACATCGTTCCTAACCTGCATTCCACCAAGCGCAAGACCTAACTTACATCATTACTGCTTTTTCTCCGTCTGCTTTGCATACTTTGTTCCTGTTACTTGGGTTGTATACATAAACACTACTTTGTTTTAAACTGCCATAGGGTTATGATGTAAACATCATCATCATGCGTAGTTATTAGCATGGGTGATGTACCATGTAATGTTGGGCCTTTCTGCCTACCTCATTAACCCTCACTCGTGATCATATTTTGCACTCCTTGATTGATCATGGTAGCTGCACATAATGAAATAATGTAAACCACCCAGTTTGTATGTCATGTTTGTTTACATCCCAACCCCAATGTACTATGTAAAACATTTTATTTGTGCACACGTATTCGTCGCTTTTTTTTTGGCATTTGCAGGCTCCAAGCAATACCTCAACCATATATTCTTCACCTGTTCGGGAAACTAAGCATCCAATCACCTCTGCAATCTGTTTTCCCAATGTAAGCGAATATGGTATTCACCTGTTTTTTCTCCAACATCTTGCCTACCTGTTGTCCCTCCGTTATTGATTTCAAATTACTGTATTTTAATTTCCTGCTTCTGCCCATCCCACCATACAGCATTGCACAAATCGCATATAAAACCCCGACAGAACAGCTCATATTGCTTTTAATAAATTTGTTATTATAATTGTCTTTCCCCTCCTTACAATTGTTGGTGTAATCATTTTTATTATAATTACTATCCTAGCTCCGCTGTATGACCAACACGTTGATACCCGAAATAACCACAAACCTACTGCTTGTATAGATGGTCATCCCGAATCCGTTGGACATCATGGCCATTCGTCTCATGCATACGTAACCAGGTCATTACTTATATAAAGACATAATACACACATTTATATAACTACTCACTTATACTTGTAATCATTATTGTTATTATTGTTCTTTTCATTACCAATCATGTTTGACTTACTATTTTTTTACTAAATCCGTGCTCTTTATTTTGCTTTCACTTACATCAACAAAAAAACCATTGCTGCAACGCATTTTTTTTTCATAACTGCAAACATACTTACCTTCTTTGCTACACGCACGTGTGCTTCTTTATAAAACAAATTTCTACGTCAACCAACGCTCATCTGTGCCGATGACTTCCGCTTAGTCTTTGAACCAACTAACGCTTCCGTGTTCGAAATGAATGAGATTCTCTCAAAACATATTCTCCCATGTTATACTACAGGTATGCTATATATCTACAACACTTACGCTTACAATTCGTTTATGTACAACAAATATTAATGGGAAAATCCTCTTTTGTTTTTTTTTGTTTTCATATCGCAAAAACTCTCACTATTTTCATCATTTTCAGTTCACATTAGCTCCTTTTTTGTCAAACATATTGTTACTTCACTGTTTTCAGCATTTTCAGTTCACACTAGCTCCTTTTTTGTCAAACATATTGTTACTTCACTGTCTTTTCCATGCGCATTATTCCCTTAGGTATTGTTCGCTTATATTCTACGTATTTTGAATATTCTAAGAAATACTGTTCTTCCAAATATGTATGATTATTACTTGATAATCCCCCCTCCCCTTCCCCCTTCCCTTTTTCTGAGTAAAAAACATTATGTTACACTTTTTATAATTGTCTGCATGGGTTGGCTTCACTACAAACCTAAATACCACACAAGCGGGAAACATAAAAGCTTGGAAAGATTATGTTAGAAAAAAGGAAATATAAACGCGTGCGTAGATGGTGTGCATGTTGATAATTTAGACCATTGATCATAAGACTGTTTACTTACTTGTAATATATAAATCATACATGTTATATTATACTCCCTCCGTCCCTATATAAAAGTATCCATTCATTTTACACACATCTTAAGAAAGTGGGTTTGGTTGGTACTGTTTGGCACTGTTTGGCACTGTTTGACACTGTTTTGCATTGTTTTGCACTGTTTTGTTTGCCAAAAAAGGAAAGGGAACTTTTATTTAAGGACGGCCCGAAAAGGAAACATATGTTTTTATTTAGGGACGAAGGGAGTAAATATTATAGACGTTAATATATATTTATATATGTACATGTGCACACACATACAAACATGCCAGCAAGAAAATAAAAAAAAGGTATTACAGAAGCACACAATAAAATATGATTTAATAATTAAAAAAATATAAACAATGCACAAATTAATAGCTATTCAATGCCCAAAAAAAATGAAAACATGAATTCATGAATTGAATGAACACATTAAATCAATATATAGGGAATCAACAATAATTTGAAAGAAAAAAAGAAAAACTTTTCCATGTAACTTCATGTTTTTGTATTGCTAAAATACAATTATTAAATACTAAAATAAATTACGTGGAGGCTAAAGCTAACATTCTTAAAGACTAAAACTTAAAATACTACAAAATATTAGATTTCTGGTGTTTTTTAAAAAAGTATGTCAAAATTAAAGGTATTCTAAACTAGACACTTTTTTAGTATAAACTTTGACACATAAATAATAAGCAGCGTGCGTAGCAGTCGCATATGTCATTCGTCATCTTGATGAAAATGATGAATTCAAGGTGCTTGTTATTTGGTGATCACATAAAGATAAACATTTTAACTTAGACTCAATCTATACTTTATGTCTTATTTGTTGACATTTATTTACAAAATCATGTCTTCGAATTAATTACTATTTTTATCTTTATCATGTATTTATGCAATCAAGATTTATTCTTTTATGTAGTAATGCGATTTGCAACTTGAATATGTGTACACTTTTATTTTTTTACTATATATGTTATTTTGTGAAGTACATAATTTAAATGTTCAAAAAAGTACCCTTATTTTTTGTCCTCATTTTTGTAACAGATACCGTATTATACACGTATACGTATTAACATGTTTTTTAAAAGTCAACGTTTTTTTGAACGTATGTTTGACCATTTTTTCATTAATGTTACCGAATAAAACACATACGTATTTAACCTCATTTAATTCCCATACCGTATTTAACTAATTAGGATCGTTTCTCCTTTCTTTAAATATTCCAAAGTAATTATTTTTAATAACATTTGAAGTAGAAAACTGCTTGTTATCAACATCCCCCCACATTCCATTTTATTACAACGCAGGGGCTACTTGGTTCGCTGCGTATTGGCCAGATAAACGGTGCCGCCCAAGGTAATCTACTCCCCACCGTTACACTCCCTCTCTTTGCATGCTTGCCGTTGCCATTCAGAACCGACGCGTGTGTCGAACTTTTCTTTTCTCAAGGTTGTATTCATTTGCTCACCTGTCTGTTCAACCTTTTCCAGGTAAGATTTCTCACAAAAACGCTTCTATACCGTCAAATTTTCGTGTTTATGGTGTATCTGGTACCAAGGTGGTTCATGAGGAATTCAGACCAGAAAAACAAAAGATAAAAGTTCAACCTAAACAAGTTTTGAAAAATAATGAACATGAGAGGAAACTAACAACAGAAAAGGTTTTCAAAATAACAGAAATCAAAGACAGAACTCGACCAGACATCCTCATGACTACCTCACCAGAGATGATCACCAGAGAGGCAAATATCAAGAGAAAGTTAATTTCAGGCAGAAGAGGTTGGCTGGTCAACTTCAGAATCCCAAAGCTAACCGCCCCTCTACTCTTGATAGTATATGGGACTTCTACCCAACCAGAAAAGCTATGCAGAAGTACGTAAACATGAAGCATGATCCTCACAAGCATCTGCCCAAAGTGAATCACACTTCTGTTTACTATGACTACCAGGTGGACAATGGGTACCACCCATCAAAGTTTCACTTGATGAGACCAAAGTGGTACCGGATGCCAAGACTACATGACCCCCTAGAACCCAACATAGCTTGAGTACCTAAATCTTCCTTTTAATTATGCAAAAATTGTGTGCTGGAGCAATCTCTGAGCAAGATTGGTATATTGATAGTGGATGCTCCAGGCACATGACAGGTGACAAGAGTTGCCTAACAGAGTTCCTGAGATGCAAAGGACCTAGAGTTACCTTTGGAGGTAATGACAAAGAAGGTCAAACAAAAGGAAAATGCAAGCTGATCAGGAACTAAATAATAATCAATGATGTCTCCTATGTCAAAGGCCTGGAATTCAATCTGTTGAGTGCTAGCCAGTTCTGTGACAAAGGCTACACTATTGAATTCTCAAAAGAAGGCTGTTCTGTCAAGCATGAGACAACTAAGGAAATGGTTCTAAAAGATACCAGAAAAAGAAACATATATGTTGTTGATTGGTCTACTGCAAAAGAAGGAATTTGCCTGATAGCCAAAGGAGATTCAAAGCTTAGCTGGGAATGGCATTAGAAGCTGAGCCACTTGAATTTCAAAACAATCAACAAGCTAGCAAGGGATCACATTGTTGATGGGCTGCCCAACATTGTGTACAAAAAGGAGAACCTGTGCAGTGCATGCCAGAAGGGAAAACAAGTGATGAACTCCTTCAAACCCATTGCTGGAGATCTTTCTACAAGTCCCTTAAATCTGATCCACATGGATTTATTTGGACCAGTAGAAACCCCAAATGTTGGTGGCAAAAGATACACTCTTGTCATGGTTGAAGACTATTCAAGATACACCTGGACAATCTTTTTGAAGAAAAAGAATGAAACTCTGCAGAAGTTACCATCTCTGTTTAAACTATTGCAGAATGAACAGAATGAAAAAGTCAAGACCATCAGATCTGATAAAGGAACAGAGTTCGTCAACAAGGTCATAAGGGATTTCTGTGACCAGAATGGAACCATGCACCAACTCTCTGTATCCAGAACTCCTCAACAGAATGGAGTTGCAGAAAGAAGGAATAGAACATTGAAGGAAGCTGCAAGGACCATGATTGCTGAATCTGGTCTACCTCTCAGATACTGGGCTGAAGCAATCAACACTGCATGCTACACCCAGAACAGAAACATGATTCACAAGACTCACCAGAAGACCCCCTATGAACTCTGGAAAGGAAGAAAACCCAACATCAGCTACTTTCATGCATTTGGATGTAAATGCTATGTACTCAACAATGGAAAGGAACATCTCAAGGTGTTCCAAGAGAAGGCTGATGAAGGAATGTTCTTAGGCTACTCAAGCACAAACAAAACCTATAGAATACTCAACAAAAGGACCCTACTTGTTGAAGAATCTATTCATGTCAAGTTTGATGATCACAACTCTGTTGAAGATCTGACAAAGAAACTGAAAGAAGTAAGCCTTGAGGAAACACCAGAAGTGGTCACACCAGAAGTAATCACACCAGAGACAGTCGTACCAGAGTTGGTCACC